TAGGGAAAAGTAAACTGCCCATTAATAGCATATAAAAAAAAATAGGCGCTGGCTATTATTTGTTGTGAGTAAATTGGCTTCAAAGTGTGCCCCTTTTATTTTTACGTGTGCGGATTTTTTTTGGAGGTTGGTGCCTGGCTCTTGGGCCCTGATGGTTTTTTTTTCTTCCTGCTCATCCGTTTTTATGAACTCTTCTACGTCCTCTTTTTTTGTGTATTGCCGGGACACACAGTATATCATCCCCTGGTTTTAACCGAGCGTGGTGGGTGCGGATATTTGCGTCCGCTGGTAAAGCGTCATGTTATGGACAACCACTCAACGTGGAGAATTTCCTGTGCTTGAACCGCTTTAGCTCCTTTCGAGGTCAGGGGGGCGTATCGTTTTCTTTCCAATATTCAGATCCAAATGTTGGCCACCAGAGCCTTGCTGTCGATCCCTTTGGTGATGGACCCATGTAGGGATTTCAAGGTGGCATGCGGGCGTGAGTCGTCTCGATCTGGATGTGTGTTAGTTGGGGGCACACTCTTGTCTGGGCATGCGTGGGCTTGCGCGCGGTAGTTGTGTATGCTAGCGTACCGTGTCCTGTCGCTGCGTGGGTGGGCATGTCAGCCTGTTCTGGATGAACCTGCAGTGCTGTGCCGTAGCTGGGTGGGAGAGAGCGGCACAGCAGGCTTCTTCCAGGCGTTCAGCTTGCATATCGTCGCTCGCTGGCTACACGTCTCGCAGAGCAGAAGATACGGGACTCGGAGCAAATCGGGCGAGTGAGAAAAGGGAGCATCAACAGCTGTCTAGAGCTGCCAGTTGCGGACCATGAGCAGCGGTGGCAGACGATTCCGTCTGATCTAGCGTGCGTGCGTGTTGTGTTGTGGTGTGTTCCACGCTCCCCCTGTCCTCTCACTCTCCGCCAGGCTCTCGCTGTTTCCCATGTCCTCCTCGCCGGCTGGAAGGGGCCAAACAGACCCAGACCTGTGCCCCTCGGCAGAGCCAGCAAGCCAGATAGGACCTGCCGCCTGTGCCCTGCTGCCCTGCTGCCTATCTGCCTCCTTTTGGCTCTAGCTTCACCGCCGGGGCAGATTTCTGAGCTCTCCGGGGGGGTCCATTGATGCCACCCACACATGCGTAAAAAAAAAAAAACAGTTTGCTGCCGTCCGTCCCACCGGGGGAAACCGGCTTATTGGCTTCCCACACCCTCGGCGCGCCTTGCGGGCCTTCTGTTTGGCTCGTCCGCACCGTGTGACAAGGCAGCTGATAGCCCCCCCTCGTAGCGCCCATTATTCGTCGCTCGCGCCGGCGCCCAGCCCCGCTAAGCGAGGCGCCCACCCTTTGGCCTGTCTTTTCTGTTATCTGCTTGCTGCGCGCTCGCGCACGATCGCGAGAAAGTCTTGCGAGCCCTGGGTGGGATCACCGGCAAGGCGGGACTTTTGAGTCAGAGGTGGTGTGATGGTGGTGTGTGTGTGTGTGTGTGTGTGGCTTGGTGTGTTGCATCTATGGTGATTTTTTACACGAAATGGTGTGAAGAATGCGGGGAGCCGTGGGAAAGATCCAGAGCCGAAAAGGGAGGCCGGGGCACACCACACGCAAAATGCCCAGCTGCTAAATACCACAAGCAAGACGTGCTTTGTTTGGATCGGTTCTTATCTTACGCCACGTCATGAGGCTGGATAGCTGAGAATTGCGAAAAGCCCATGGACCCTGGCGCACGTTTAATCTAGGACCCAAGAGCGAAAGGAAAGTAAAACGATGAAGTGTTGGTGGTTACTGCCCGCTGAAAGTGAGCCTTCAGAGGAGAGTGCCTTCAGAGGGGAGTTGCTCCGTGCGGGGAATCAGATTCCTGTGTAAAAAAATATGTCACCGGTTTGGAAACCCCTCCTGGGCTGTACCTTGTCAGCGGCCTTTCAGGGAGTAAGCCTGTGCGCAGAATCCGGTGGCTTTCCGGCCTGATCCGCCCCCGGTCCTCGCTGGGCCCTCAAGATCGTGATCACACGAAACCGGCGAGCAGGGGAGGCCTCCCCCGCCGCTTTCGCAACCGCTCCTCGACAATGTATTTGGTCATACACAGCAGAGCCTTGTGCTAGGGGCCTTTGCTAGTACGGATCCAGTCCAGCCTCGTCAGCCCTTTTCTTGCTTTTCTCAGAAGTGGAGAACCTCGAGATACGACAGCCTGACCCGAGGCCAGGGCGGCAGGCTCTGCCGGTGGGCCGGAGAAGGATGGATGATCGGCATGCATGTCCACTCTTTCGGAGGTAAACAGAGGGAAAAGTTCGGCAGTGCATATTTAGCTGTTTAAGAACCCCCGGTCTGTGTCCCAAAGGGGATAAGTATGGATGCTGGCCCACTGTCCAAAATTCGACAATGACGGGCCGAAAAGAAGTTGACTTATCTCATCTACACGCAGCAGCACCGCTCGGAGAGAAAGACAGAACGCGGATAGGGGAAGATAGCGGAAAAGATAAAGGAACAAGGATGAGGCAACGGGACACGTATTCTTCACTGTTAAGTGGCCTCCGGGGTGCATGCCAAAGCTAGAGACCGCGGCCGTAAAAGGCTTTATCCTTGCTCGCGCAGATGCTACCCTTCTGTCACTTGTCAGGTTTAGAGCCAGCTGTGCTCGGGCGTATGTAGCGCTCCGCCGTGACCCCATGCTGCAGCAGAGCACTGACGCCGGACGCTAAACTGACAAGGTCATGGCGAATGGCATTGACACTCGGCAACGGGCAACGGCCTCGCTAGCCTAGACAAGGTCTAGTCACCGCTAATAGCAAATACATTGCTTGTGATCGGCGTGCTACGCTCTCAAGCCGGTTTAATTCAACAAATGGTCTGGAAAAGGGCTTCGGATGAGGTAACTCTATTATCAAGCCACTGCGTGAAAAGAACTTCTGCGATCCCTACTCATCTAATGTGCCTGCTAAATTAAACTGGCTTAAGAGGGTAGATTTGGCAGCCACCCCCATGGACTTTCAGCTTGCGGTCACACAGGAGGTAAAAAAAAAATAGAAAAAAGCAGAAAAGCGCCGGAGGGGGCCAAAAGGTGGCTGGAGGGGGGCAGGGGTTAGGCATTGGACACACAGGTCGGGGGATTTTTCGGCAGGGAAGAAAAAGAAAAAGTAATAATATACCTCAGAAGTGCTCACCCCCAGGCCTGAACTTGTGGATCATTCTTCAGCAGCTCGGGCGCACTGCAACATCAGAACGGGGTGTATGCATACTCCGGCCGCAATATTGTCCCTGACAATGCACACTGTGAGTTATCCGGGCTGAATTGTCACAGTAAAAGCAGCCCCCAACCTGCTGTGCACTGTGAAGAACTCATGGGGGGGCCTTTCGTGCTTTAATCCACCCGAGTGTTGGGCAGAAGAGAGCACACCAGACCGCCCCTGCTCCGCATTGTGGTCCAGCTAAATCTCCATCATTGCATATGGACGGGGCTGATATTCTCAAGCTTTGGGAGGGGCGCGTTTCCCGGACCCTCCGGAAGTGATGCGCCGGATGAGATAAAAAGCCAGGAAGTTTTTTTAACCACATAAAATATGGGCCCCAGCTGCTTTTCGTCTTCAAGCCCGTGAGCCAGCAGGGGAGAGAGGAGGGGCCATGGTGAAGCGATCCTGCCGGATCCCATAGCCCTGTTCGGTGTCACACATGTGCGTACGCGGACACAACTGCAGGGAGGTGGGTCCTGCCGGCTGTCGGAGTCCAAACTCTCTGGTAGGCAACCTGATCTGGCTGTCCCTGCGCTCGAGCGGCTTGGAGGGTGATGAGGGGGGAGGGAGTAAGAGGACGAGACAAGAGTGCCTCGCTGGTGGGCAGTGGGTGCTGTGCCACAGACGGACGGGAGGTCATCAGAGCAAGGCTCCAAGTGGCGGAAACAGCGCCGTCCTCTGCCCTGCGCTGCCGCCGTGGCCAAGACGGCTGCTGCATTGTGGGTTTCTCAAATACCGCCTGGTTCGTTGCATCCGAGTGCCGTCTTTTTGCCCGCCAACCCCCCCCGACTCCGAAGCAGAAGGGACTTTGGCACGTTTGTGGGAACGGACATGCCCTCTACGCTCGCTATTGGCCACAGCGTGTGTTTCATTTACCGGGAATTACAGGGACCTGTGTCCGATCTTCCGCGTCCTCACCCTCTGGTGCAAGCCTGGGAGCAGCCCGACGGCTCGGCTTCGCCTGGCCAAATCGATTTGGCGAGGCGGTTTTGAGGCGGCATTTGGCTGCTTGTAGGTGGCTCTAGGGAAGGAATGTGACAAGCACGAGAACAAGGTGGCGGCACAGGGCAGCCAGCTGGTCGACTTTCCCGATCGGGTAACTCCGAGGTGATGTACCGACTGCAAACCATGGGCGGCGGGCGCAAATGCCAGCCCTGTCGGAGCGAGCTCCGAGCGGACTCACGACGCTTTAACTTGGGGACACACAAGTGGACGCTTCGCATAGCCGTCATCTTGTTTATGTAAATAGAAAGACATAACAAGGAAAAATCAAGCGACGAAATTGCAAAAAAAAAAAAAAAAGTTATTTACTATACAAAAAAGAAATTTACTATACAAAAAAAAAAAATCACAACACCAAGGATTCCCTAGTGGTTGCCCACCTGAGTACTAGCTCGGCCCTTATGTTTTGGTACTTGGAGATTTTGAGAGCGCATGGGATCCAAGCCCTCCAAAAACGGGTGCCTCTGCTCCCTTTTGCTCCCAGCCAAGCGCTCCCCTACCATCTGCTGCGCCCTACCCTATACATCCACTTGTATTCCAATCCTTGGATAAAACGATGAATATGCTCCTGGCGCTTTTACTCCCGCTATCGAGATGCTGGTGGAAATCGACTCGGGATAGAGCTGACACTGGCGATATCTTGTAGGCAACACCCGCGCGTGAGTGGCGCAGGAGAGCGTCAACGCCGGGCATGAACCGTTTCTCGTTTTCCGCCGAGCTCCTGAAGTGTCGGGGAGGGAAGGGATACGTGGCACGCATGGGGGTTCGTCCCGGAAACCGACCACAGCATAGCCTGGACAGCCAGAGGCGCACGATGCCGTCCGAGGTCATCGCCATCAGCTTGGGCGAGTTCTATAGGCTGGTAAGGCTATGGAGGGTAGGAGACTCTCTGGGCTCCATACACGCTTACCCAGGACTGTACGGCCCCACCTCCTTTGTGATAACCAAACAACATTCCTCCATTCGTTACAGGCAAGGCTAGCCACGTCCGCAAAGGTGCGCTCACTTTCCATTTCCCCCTCCACGGCCGCAGCTAGCCCCTGCTATGCTCTTGCCACCGAGGCTTCCTGAACCTCCAATCCGACCGTAAATAGTTCATGCAGCCGGGCGAGATGCACCATGTGATATTCCGAAAGTCGGAATCGTTGGTGATGCAGCCGCCGTACGAGCTCGGGTCGAGGGCGGCGCACCAGTCGTACATCCAGGACTCAAAGTTTCGAGAAACAGGAAACCTCGCCGCCCATTCGACACTAATACACGAAAAACCGCGGTTCGAAGTTTTCGGACATGGGTCAAATACCACATACCTAGTCAGAGCTTTCTTCGACCTAGATGTCGAAGCAATGGCTTTGTGAGTTTTGGCAAAAGGCAGCGCCTCGCGTATCGAACCAGAAGTCGTCTGGGGGGCTGGTTTGCAGTTGCGTTGCCGCCACCACGCAGGGACACCTTCAGGAGGAAGAAGCTCCGAGCCTTCATATCGGACGCATCCGCAATTGCGGGGGTCGATGCAACGCAGCTCCGGGAGATCGCCAGGCGTGTTTGGAGGTACAATATACCCTCCGACAGTTCGACGCATTTCCCCCAGCTGATGTCGGAGATGCCGTGCCGTCGGCTCGCGGTCTGGTAATGTTGGTATATTTGTATACCATCTCCAAATCAGGTCTCTTCGGCCATCGGCATGCACCCTTTCCTCCACCATGGGTTCGGAGCCGCAGCACGTGGTTTTATGGCTGGGGTGGCTGCACGACACCAGTGTGCGGATATTGGTTATGTCTGATCCCGGCTCCGGCGGTGGCACCCGTCCCACGGAACCAAGCTCCCCAAGTTGGACCGCCTTGTGAGCACAAAGCCGTAGTCGACCCTCAAACGCGATGCACCATCTCCTTTGAACGCTGTCGAAATCCACGTTGCGCTGCGCCGGGGAGAAAAGCCAGGCCTGGTGCTCCAGCCCGCACCAGTTGCAGTAGAGATAAGTCTCGAACGCGGCGGCGCACCTTTTCTCGAAGTCGGGTTGGAAGGTCGCGAGCGTACAGATGGTGCAGAGGTTCGGCAATCTTTTGTAAACGCTCGCAAAAGACCCGTTTTGTGCCGGCGCTGCTGGCTGGACTGGCTTTGCCAGCTGCGTTGCAAAATTGAAGAAGAGGCTTGAGGTGTGGCGCAAACGCGAGCGGGTCTCAACGTCCAAAAGCTTGACGATCTGGTTCAGGATGGGTGATGGCAAACGGTACATGGGACTGCGTGCCTTGTTGTGGAGGAGAGCTGCCACGAGGGGATCTAGGCTGGTAACCGTCGACGTGGAAGCGCCGGGTGCGTCTCCCGCTAGAACCGCTTCCTCATAGGTCGGTGGGGCTTCGGCCTCTGTTGCAGTAGGTAGTGGCCGTGGTCCGGACGATTTGCTGTGTTCGTTGCCCATTGTGCTTGATAGTTGGTGGCGGCTGCCGATATCGCTGGGAGCGTGGCAGACTCGCTAAAAAGTGTTGGGCGAGCGATGGAAAGGGAAGAAATGAATTGAGCATGGCGGTTGGATAGGTATTAATATATTCAGCGATCTTGCCTTCTCCGAGAGCCACGCGAGGTTTATCCATAACTTGAAGGCAAATACTTTGGCGAATAGGGGAAAAAGGTTTGCGTAAGCCAATATCTAACCACCTAGCTTTTTTAACTTTACAAAATAAAGGATCAAGACAAAGGATGGGATGAAAATAAGTTCGGTGCTTCTATGCAGTTGGAGTGTGATGTTGTATTTGTCGCGCATATGACTCCTCGATGGGGTTCAAGCCTTGAACGCGGGACGGGTGTTATCCGTCGGTGCCTGGAGCAGATGTATGATGCCCACATGCTGCTGGTTATCGGAGATGCTCGAAGAGTAGCGAGAGAAGCCACAGGCTGCTGTGGACGTCAAAGTGGCTGGGCACTTCAAATTCAAAAGCGGCGCCAGGCGGAGCTTAGTAGATGGAACCTCGTGTGACGCCAGGGGCATTTGCGAGCGCTGCTCTGGCAAATGGTCAGCCTGGGTGTTAATGTCGGACGCCAACGGCCCGCCAGCATCGAAAGGAACCACAGGGGATGCAGGGAACAGATGGAACATGGCCAGACATACTTCAGTTTGGCGTGGATGTACGTTATAAACGCAGCTGTGCGGCTGGGTCGGCATAACCTATTCGACGCCAGCGACGCTGGGATCGGGAGGGCCACCGGAGCAACGAAGGCAGAGACGAGAGTTGCCCGTGGGAAGAGAGCGGTTGATGGTTCGCAGGAAAAGAAGTGCGAAAAGACGAATTGTGCAGCGAAGGATCGGGCGTACTGCCGACCACCTGAAAGACTGGAACGCGCTTGTACACATACAGAGTATGGTGGAGCCGGTCGGTTCGAATTCGTTTGGCTGGGTTCGATCGAATTGGGTGCGAAAAAGACAGCTTGACCGGGGGTCACAGCATATCGATGCTCGTTTTGAAGGCAGTCCCAGAGAGTGGATGGGAGGCCGCGACAGATGATCCGCCCACCTCGCTAGAAAGCTGGTCAAATGCGGAAGGAAAGGCCCGACAAAGTAGCAATGTGAAGGCAGCAGAGGAAGGCGGCGTGGTGTTTTCCTTGCGGGACGTGAAAATTAGAGGAAAGAATTGCATTGATGGAAAGCGCGAAACAGTTTTTGGCCAGCTTTACCAAAACTACCAGCAAATTTCCAGACTTCCATTCGTGAACTCTTCTTTTTTCCGAATCCAGCGCGAAAAGATCTGCTTGGTGTACTGCTAACCAACAATCGTGAACAGATAAAGCACACACACACACACAACTCGAGCAAGATGTTCGAGAACTGGCCGGCCTTTGGCAGCCTTCTGGTGGCCATTGTGGCCTTTCTCCTGGTGTCGCCGTGGGCCTGGGCCCTCAAAGAGGCGCCCTCCCAGGAGCCCCGGACGACGATCGGCTGGTGCCGAGTTTGGCTTTCGACCATTCTCGGATTGCTCTTCCTGCTGCCCTTCCGTGTCGTCTGGGTGGTCTGCCACTGGAGCACCCTCGTGGACTTTGGCCGTGTCCTCGTCGCTGGTTCCGCAAACGACGGCGACTGGTTGATCAAGGCATTCATGAAGGCTTGGCGGGGCTATCGCTATGGCAGCCAGCACGTTCCCGACTTGGAGTTGGCATTGACAGTCACCTCCAACCCACCCCTGCCGCTGCCGCTGCCGCTGCCCGACCGCGGCCAACCTTTGTTGGAGATGCTCGCCGACCAAGGCCTCACGTCGTCGCCCACAACCCAGCAGCAGCAGCAGCCGCCGCCCGCCACCAGCCCTGGCCACGCCGACACGTCCAACCTCCGGCACAGAGGGAGCGTGGCTCCAGGCTCGGGGCAAGATGGAATGGAATTTTGGGAGACATAAACTGCGGTGGGGGCTTTGGCCGCATTCTTTTCTCACCTTTTTCTTGTTTCTTGTGCTCGCCGTCGTCTGTTTTTTGGTCTGGGCTTTCTTGTTTTTGATTTACGGTATTTTTACCCGCTAACGCAGAAACGCACTGACATGGCAGTTGCTCCGGCGGCCAGTGAAGCGCCACCAGCCCTCGATGGTAAGGAAGGCGGCAGTCAGGGCGACGGCAAGGACGATCTAGAAGCGGCCCGAGAGGATAGGGTCCGAGTCTGGCGGCGGAGAGGCGGAGATCACGCCAGTCGTTTGGGAAGGCGAAGATGGGCATGGGAAAGATGGCTTGTAACGTCAGAGCCGGAACAGCATGCATTCGATGGTTTGAGCACTTACCGTAGCCGCCGTCACGGGCAGGCACAATTTCCCACCAAACCTCACAGTTTTCGAAAGCAAATAAAACAATAAAATGAAATTATAAAAATAATCGAAAAAGTAAAATCCCGTAATAATTTATAAAATCTTTAACGTATATTTTTTTTTTTTTTGTAACTTATCGTAAGCTTTTAAACAAAATTTTAAAGTTGGACCTTCAAAATGCATCCGCTGTAAATAAATTTAGCATCCCCTAAAAAGCGCTGTAGTAATAATTTTTTTAATTTTTTAATTTGCTACGCGCTGCAATTTACGCCCTTAATATTTAAATTAATTAAAATTAATTTATATATTAAAAAGGATCCTAAATTTTAAATGCATTTCGAATTTTTATTTTAGCATTTTTTTCTGATTTGATATAGCGGTTGAAATGTGTTCATTTTTGTATGTAACTTGGTAGCGTGCATCCAGACTTTTGAAGTGTGACTGTACCTACCGTGGTTTGTTTGCTCTTGTACGCGCCCTGGGGGTCATCGTGCAGGAAGTCAGGGGTCTTCAGAAGTTGATGGACATGCCTAAACAGCAGCACGTATTTTTGTAGACGGGCGTGCCATGGCAGGGCTGCTGATCTACAGGGAACACAGGACGTTGGCTAGAAGCGAAGTAGATGGCATTTTGACGAATACGAATGCAATAAGACACACCCGTCCTACGTCTCCCTCTTCCAAAAATGCTAAAGTAGAACACGGCAGGGGGATCACCGATTGTTGCCCACCTTAGCTAACTATATCCATGAGCAGGTTGTGGTTTTGCCGCGATGGTATTCACCGCAGCTAGGAATTTAAACGATGCAGCTTGCTCCTTAACGACTGCCAGAGGGAATATAAGACGGAACGAACGGTGACAGGAACCTAAAAAAGCACTCATATCCGTAGCTAACAAACGCTGCCAGGGTGCTAGAAACACGCCCAGCAAAAAACAAAACAAAAAAGAAACGAAAG